GTTTCCTGGTAGATTGATGACGAAGAGAAACAGGTTGAAGCTCTGAAATAAGAACAATGTCAGGAATGATCGCTTAATAAACTGTAGTTTTCCCGGTTTTGACGGGTGTGTTTTTTTTCTGCTGAAAACGTCAACTACGATAAGGGCTTTAGGTATACAAACACTTATCGCGTTAAGATCACATGAGTGTGAGACTTAAATGTATACCATGACCCTGGCATATATTCCACTATAAAAATACCACGCAACTTCAGTAGGGAATTAAAAACAACACCGATAACCTATATAGAGAATGAGGGTAACTGTAACGCCTTGAAATGAGGGGCGGGGTCAGTTATCTAATCGATAGGTATTAAGATGCCACATCATTGTGTGAAGTGTTGAAGTAAGGCGTGACACCACTAGTTCAGATTTTATCGTAAAATGGATTTTTTTTAATGTTTACGTTTTCGTTTTATCATCAGAGTTTGTTTTTACTGTATATTTTTGTAAATAATGTTTTCTTTCTTCTTTATCTGTGTGATTGATATTCTGACAACTTAACGCCACAAAAACAGTATTGCAACCAGACGCGACATTTTTATTCAACTTTAAGAGGTCTTTTCAATCTCTGACAATTAAAAGTGTAGTACCTGTTTTTCCATGCACTTTTCATTAGAACTTATTCATTGATTCGGAGCAGTCACGACCAGGTATATGTATTATCTATGTTTAATCAAAACCTACTTTTGATGAATTAACAAATTAAATCGACAATCTTTCGTATATGCGCTGACTCTGCTGGAAATGAATATCATTGTGAAATAGATAGAGTTACCTCTCTACACCTCTACACTTGCTGTTTTATCCTGCAGCTGGCGCCGCCATTGTCGGAATACACCTGCCACATGTATTTTTGCTGTATTTGGCAGTGACGGAAAACAGCTGTATTTAAGTACGTGCATCAATTTGACAGAATTAGATTCTAATTTATCAAAAAATTACATTTAAAAAAATTGACTGATGAAATAACCGATTCTACTTTTTATAATTAACAAATTGGGCTGGGTCCCCGGTCATGATATCTTGGAGTATCTCTCAACAATATATTTTGCTTTATCGCTCTACTTTCGTGAATAAATATCTTTACTATTCCGAGATGGATATGACGAATTTTGGGTATGTACACTAGTTAATCAACATTAACAACAATTTAGATAGATAATCACGGCAGATAAACATTTTAGGTCTTTTATATGCCCCGACCTACATCCTGACCCGAATCTATCAACAACTTGACTGGAAGTGGGTTAAGATTCTACGTCACCAATGCCTGTAAGGAGCGTTTTAATTGGCTAAGACCATGTGAGGGAAACACTTCGAAAAAAACTGTACAGGTTTTAGTTTTTGTTGAATTTCGTTTTGCGATTATTACATCAATTTTAGACTCAAATTATTTTAGAATTGTGATAGTATGCTAGTTTTCAAGCATATATTTATGTTCGATCCTGAATTTTGTCGTTTCAACACTCTACTTTGTCTCGTGTTAAAACCAAAAGTTATGACCTGATCTTCAGTATGTGCATAAAATACAAGTATACTGTCCCCTAATTATATTATGACATTATTTACGTTTTTAAGCTGCATGCACTTGTTACTCAATATGTTTTCACCATTTCGAATGAGATCACTCCCTGCCTATCAGGAAAGTTGCCAAACTACATCCGTGCCTGAATTATCAGGTCCCTGTGATATCTATAATATTTAATTGTTTAAGTTAGAGTGCCGAAACTGTCTTATATGATCTCCACCTTCTGATACCATATCTCTCTCGACCTGCTTTTACAAAAGTAAATACGAGGATTTCCAGACGTTGAGAGTAAATCGTAAATAGAGAATGAAAATGACCAGATTTACCACGTATTTGTAAACATGGCAGATTCGCAAGGCATGATTTTCACCTAGTATTTACATTTCGCATGTGCAATAGATATATTTTTTATTTTTACCACAGGAAATACACGTGAATTGATGAGTTGACCTTCAAAACAAAGCGGAAGTAATCAGACCAACAGGTCATTATGGACGGTGCCTACATGAAATAACATCGGTAACACAAACTTTTGTCGATATGGATTGTTTTTTTCGGGCTGGTATTGTAAACGAACATTTTTTTTTGCGGAAATGATATTATCACGCTTTCCGCTTTGTAGATATTGCTCTAAAATATGATAGCGTTAATTGTCACTTCTGTGTATTGCTTATAGAAAGCAATTGTTGTATTGATGCGCAGATTCCTAATTGCGCTTATTTGCCGAAAAGTGTTCATATGCTTCCATTTGTACTAAATCAAGGATACATTGTACATTTGTAATGAACAGATTTTCGTTCACAATTTTTAGGCGACACGAAGTATTATGATCACTAAGAAAATATAACATACGACCGAATTATGTTATGATTATAAAATTGGGTCGAGTTGGATATTTTTTTCATTTTTAGACATGTTTATGTTAATATTATCATGAAAACTGTACGTAATGACAGCAGCCGATTCGCCCACGATTTGTTTACGATGTGCGGGAGTATAATGCTCCCTAATCCCGAAATGCGACAACAGAATACGTTGAACCGTGCGCGGAAACACGTTGGTGACTGCGGTGCTAGTCAAAGAGCTCTTTCTATCAAAACTGGTTAATAATAGTGTTTAACTCCCGTTATCGTTGATTAAACAGTCATTAAGATAACAAATTCATGTAATGTTCTATAAACGTACTTTTTGGAAGGTGGCTTTAATTTTTTAATGAGAAGATTTATGGATGCTGAAAAAAGTTAACGAGGGCGCTACTTCGAAAATGTAGAGATAAAATACCAGATTATTCCTTTATTTAATATCGTAACATGTTCGTATCTTACTGTTGTTTTATAGGCTGGCCTTGTTTTTCACATTCTTATGCTGCGAAAAGCTCTGGAATCCTGCTCAATAGATTCTCAAATGAATTTTTCATATTTTTATCAGGACAATTACTGACGAAGTTTGAAACAGAACACACTGATTTACAGCAATGACCTGAAGTGGTCAAAATATATCAAAGCTCACAAATACATTTTTGTCATCGATTTAAACAGTTCCATCTATGTAGGCTGGTGTAACTTCAGAGAAGACAAGCGAATACAACTGTACTGCTATCTCCAAGAGGTGACTAAATCTCTCGCTATACATTACCGCACTTTCGGCACATACGTAATTTAAGAAGGAACTGTACTGTGTTATTTGTTGGGTAAACTTTTGATGAATATATTACTACTGATACTAGAAAAAAACCCCAAAAAAACAGGAGCACTTATCACATTCTGCACAGTAAAGACAGTCTGTTTGATATATGGGTAAGTTTGACAAAACCCAAATATAATGAAGATATCGTGTCGTTTTTAAACAATCAGGTTTTCACAAATTATTTCAACACTCAGCAACACATACTATAGCAGCACTATAAGTCTGTGTTTACTTCATAATGTGTTTAAGAAACAAAAAATGCTCCGATAATGTCGAAAAGAAAACTTCAAATGGAAATTTCATTTTAAGACCATTCGCCATTTTTTTTTGTTATAAAATCAAGTAACGCGCTCGCTTGTATGCGGTAGGGTTTGAAATAGAACTTGCTTTTTGTCGTGACTTTATGCTCTCGGCTTGACGTTGGTAAATGAAGTGCCGTCGTTATGAATGATACAGGGTATCATGACAGTATATAACTTAGTTCCTACCTCCATACTTTCTTTTCATAAAAGTGATAAGAAATGATAATGGGTATAGCACATGCATGACATAAGTAACATGATATTTTTTTAACAGACTAGACTTTAGGAGAAATTATCAACATTATGAATCTAATCCAGAGGGTAAGATGTATCTTTCCGCTGTCATGAACATAAACAATAACAAGTCATTTGAAAATAGTATGTGTTGATGATGTGGCCATTGACGCACGCTTTATAGTGCTATCCAACCGAAATATCATAACTTGGATACTGTAGCATGACACCCAACCCCGTCATACTAAACTGACCATAGGCTAGCAAGTTCCCAAGCATCATATTCATTGTTGAGTGAGGTATTATCTTAATGACTTTAGATACGGCACGTCATGGGGACAGAACTCATAACCTTCCACGCTTTGGCGAAAGCTCAGCTCGGTGAGTTATATATAGTGTCTAGAGAGGCATTCGGAGCAAAATGAACTTTACAAAAGAGGGAACAAAATTATCCAGAATAAAGTAGATTTTTTACAATAATCGAATAATGACAGCAGGTAAATATTTAAGCTCCACCTGCAAAGTAAAGGGGCTATATATATTTTGTAATGTTCGGTATTGTTTTGAAACGTGTAAGAGATTTTGTTTGTATTAACAGAAAATGTATATGCTAACGTAGTTGTTTGGATACTGTGGCGTTTGATTAAAATGGACGTAGATTCCTTCTAACTTCAAAACAGCAAATTATTGTACGGAACTGTTTAAAAGTCATACGCGTCATTTCAGCTTTATGAAATGACAAAATACAGAAGAAAAAAAATCATTTTTAAGATTAAGGTGGTATGTCTGATCGTTTGACATACTTTGCGTTGTATACAAGATTTACATGTAAATATCCGTACATTTCACACAAATAGAACGAATGCATACAACTCTATAATAACTGTTCATTTAAACCATCTGTTTACAGATAAAGGCTCACTGAGAGATTCAAAAGAAACTACTCAGTTGGTATTTTATGTTTGTTTACAAACACATGTAAAGGAACACACAGTGTAATGGGTTCACGATAAACGTTACAATAAGCTAGGCGATCAACAATACAAGTAGATTGTAAATACCTTAGGTTTGAATTGTTAACATTTAAAACTTTAATTAACTCTAGCGATACAGGCGAGGCCACGAAAGGGTCGCTATTGTCTATTGCTTTTGGTCGTTTATCATATTTTCTATGTGAAATTATGTTATAGCATATCTTTCTTACTTACTGCAATTTCGAATGACGCGCCTTGGAATCCTAGAGCCACAACAGCGTCCCTAAACTGCAACACAGTAATTGCACCGGCTTTTGCCTTGTCAGCCTTCTTAAAGAAATTGAGATACGACTTCTTTTTTCTCGTCTTTTTTCTCGTCTTTTTTCTCGTCCTTCTTCTCTTCTTTTTTCTCGTCTTTTTTCTCTTCTTTTTTCTCTTCTTTTTTCTCGTCCTTCTTCTCTTCGTTTGTGTGCTCTTTTTTCTCCTCCATTTTGTCGTCTGCCATTATGTTTCCCGCCTCCGTTAATATGTAAGGATGTTTCCTCCGATGTCTATCTTTATTACTTCCTATCGATATTTGACAGGAATATCTCTGAAATTGACGTGACGGCATTTTATATACCCTCACAAGTACCCGTCCCTCTGAAAGTAAAGATCACGTGACCGAAGATAAACAGTTCACCCCCACCCGTATACATTTATTAACTATATACGTTAAGCTATTTAAACCACGTGACATCTAGTTTAGATTTATGCTAGGGACGTTCCTTCTTCAATTTCTTATGCAAACAAGACATGTCCGTTTCATTTAAATTGTGTGATAAAATAAGATTTATTGATGGTCCGGATTAACATTTTGAGCTCGATCTCACACTTACACTGTCTGAGGGCGATTTGGGGACAGGGATTGGCTTTGGAAAACAAAACAAAGGAAAACGCTTAGAAATATCCACGTAACAAGTACACACTAAATAGTTTATTATAGATTAATTTATTACAATATCCGGTTGACATCGCGAATGCAATATATTTCATTCCTATCATTCGACATCCCTGCTTACGTAATAATCAGTTGATATCAGACACATGCGTCGAACTCGCCCTAATGGTTACATTGTTCTCTCGGCTGGGTACAAACTCGTCATAATGGTTACATTGTACTCTCGGCTGGGTACAAACTCGCCCTAATGGTTACATTGTTCTCTAAATTGGGTACAAACTCGCCCTAATGGTTACATTGTTCTCTCGGCTGGGTACAAACTCGCCCTAATGGTTACATTGTACTCCCGACTGGGTACAAACTCGCCCTAATGGTTACATTGTTCTCTCGACTGGGTACAAACTCGTCCTAATGGTTACATTGTTCTCTCGACTAAGTACAAACTCGTCCTAATGGTTACATTGTTCTCTCGGCTGGGTACAAACTCGCCCTAATGGTTACATTGTACTCTCGAGTGGGTACAAACTCGCCCCAGCGGTTAAACACTAGATCAGAAAGTTATGTTTTTGAGTGTTTATTCTGATGTCAATTCCCCAGACCCTTATCCATATGTGACCCTGGATGTTGGTGTCTCCCTCTTTACACACGTCCTCATAAGACCCTGGCTGTTGGTGTCTTCCTTTTGACACCCGTCCTCATATGACCCTGGATGTTGGTGTCTCCCTCTTTACACCCGTTTTCATATGACCCTGGCTGTTGGTGTCTTCCTCTTTACACCCGTCCTCATCAGACCCTGACTGTTGGTGTCTTCCTCTTTACACCCGTCCTCATATGACCCTTGCTGTTGGTGTCTTCCTCTTTACACCCGTCCTCATAAGACCCTGGCTGTTGGTGTCTTCCTCTTTACACCCGTCCTCATAAGACCCTGACTGTTGGTGTCTTCCTCTTCACACCCGTCCTCATAAGACCCTGGCTGTTGGTGTCTTCCTCTTCACACCCGTCCTCATAAGACCCTGGCTGTTGGTGTCTTCCTCTTCACACCCGTCCTCATAAGACCCTGGCTGTTGGTGTCTTCCTCTTCACATCCGTCCTCATAAGACCCTGGCTGTTGGTGTCTTCCTCTTTACACCCGTCCTCATAAGACCCTGGCTGTTGGTGTCTTCCTCTTTACACCCGTCCTCATAAGACCCTGGCTGTTGGTGTCTTCCTCTTCACATCCGTCCTCATAAGACTCTGGCTGTTGGTGTCTTCCTCTTTACACCCGTCCTCATAAGACCCTGGATGTTGGTGTCTCCTTCTTTACACACGTCCTCATAAGACCCTGGATGTTGGTGTCTCCCTCTTTACACACGTCCTCATAAGACCCTGGCTGTTGGTGTCTTCCTTTAGACACCCGTCCTCATATAACCCTGGATGTTGGTGTCTTCCTCTTTAAACCCGTCCTCATCAGACCCTGGCTGTTGGTGTCTTCCTTTTGACACCCGTCCTCATAAGACCCTGGATGTTGGTGTCTTCCTCTACACCCGTCCTCATAAGACCCCTGTTGGTGTCTTCCTCTTTACACCCGTCCTCATAAGACCCTGGCTGTTGGTGTCTTCCTCTTTACACCCGTCCTCATAAGACCCTGGCTGTTGGTGTCTTCCTCTTTACACCCGTCCTCATATGACCCTGGATGTTGGTGTCTTCCTCTTTACACCCGTCCTCATAAGATCCTTGCTGTTGGAGTCTTCCTCTTTACACCCGACCTCATAAGACCCTGGCTGTTGGTGTCTCCCTCACCCGTCCTTTACCCTGGCTGTTGGTGTCTCCCTCTTTACACCCGTCCTCATCAGACCCTGACTGTTGGTGTCTTCCTCTTTACACCCGTCCTCATAAGACCCTGGCTGTTGGTGTCTTCCTCTTTACACCCGTCCTCATAAGACCCTGGCTGTTGGTGTCTTCCTCTTTACACCCGTCCTCATAAGACCCTGGCTGTTGGTGTCTTCCTCTTTACACCCGTCCTCATATGACCCTGGCTGTTGGTGTCTTCCTCTTTACACCCGTCCTCATAAGACCCTGGCTGTTGGTGTCTTCCTCTTTACACCCGTCCTCATAAGACCCTGGCTGTTGGTGTCTTCCTCTTTACACCCGTCCTCATATGACCCTGGCTGTTGGTGTCTTCCTCTTTACACCCGTCCTCATATGACCCTGGATGTTGGTGTCTTCCTCTTTACACCCGTCCTCATAAGACCCTTGCTGTTGGTGTCTTCCTCTTTACACCCGTCCTCATAAGACCCTGGCTGTTGGTGTCTTCCTCTTTACACCCGTCCTCATAAGACCCTGGCTGTTGGTGTCTTCCTCTTTACACCCGTCCTCATAAGACCCTGGCTGTTGGTGTCTTCCTTTAGACACCCGTCCTCATAAGACCCTGGCTGTTGGTGTCTTTCTTTTTAAAACCGTCCTCATAAGACCCTGGCTGTTGGTGTCTTCCTCTTTACACCCGTCCTCATAAGACCCTGGCTGTTGGTGTCTTCCTCTTTACACCCGTCCTCATAAGACCCTGGCTGTTGGTGTCTTCCTCTTTACACCCGTCCTCATAAGACCCTGGCTGTTGGTGTCTTCCTCTTTACACCCGTCCTCATAAGACCATGGCTGTTGGTGTCTTCCTCTTTACACCCGTCCTCATATGACCCTGGATGTTGGTGTCTTCCTCTTTACACCCGTCCTCATAAGACCCTGGCTGTTGGTGTCTTCCTCTTTGACACACCTGCTGTTGGTGTCTCTCATAAGACCCTGGCTGTTGGTGTCTTCCTCTTAACATCCGTCCTCATAAGACCCTGGCTGTTGGTGTCTTCCTCTTCACATCCGTCCTCATAAGACCCTGGCTGTTGGTGTCTTCCTCTTTACACCCGTCCTCATAAGACCCTGGCTGTTGGTGTCTTCCTCTTTACACCCGTCCTCATAAGACCCTGGCTGTTGGTGTCTTCTTCTTCACACCCGTCCTCATAAGACCCTGGCTGTTGGTGTCTTCCTCTTTACACCCGTCCTCATAAGACCCTAACTGTTGGTGTCTTCCTCTTTACACCCGTCCTCATAAGACCCTTGCTGTTGGTGTCTTCCTCTTTACACCCGTCCTCATAAGACCCTGACTGTTGGTGTCTTCCTCTTTACACCCGTCCTCATAAGACCCTGGCTGTTGGTGTCTTCCTCTTTACACCCGTCCTCATAAGACCCTGGCTGTTGGTTTCTTCCTTTTGACACCCGTCCTCATAAGACCCTGGATGTTGGTGTCTCCCTCTTTAAAACCGTCCTCATAAGACCCTGGCTGTTGGTGTCTTTCTTTTTAAAACCGTCCTCATATGACCCTGGCTGTTGGTGTCTTCCTCTTTACACCCGTCCTCATAAGACCCTGACTGTTGGTGTCTTCCTCTTTACACCCGTCCTCATAAGACCCTGACTGTTGGTGTCTTCCTCTTTACACCCGTCCTCATCAGACCCTGGCTGTTGGTGTCTTCCTCTTTACACCCGTCCTCATAAGACCCTGGCTGTTGGTGTCTTCCTCTTTACACCCGTCCTCATAAGACCCTGGCTGTTGGTGTCTTCCTCTTTACACCCGTCCTCATAAGACCCTGGCTGTTGGTGTCTTCCTCTTGACACCCGTCCTCATAAGACCCTGGCTGTTGGTGTCTTCCTCTTCACATCCGTCCTCATATAACCCTGGCTGTTGGTGTCTTCCTCTTTACACCCGTCCTCATAAGACCCTGGCTGTTGGTGTCTTCCTCTTCACATCCGTCCTCATAAGACCCTGGCTGTTGGTGTCTTCCTCTTTACACCCGTCCTCATCAGACCCTGGCTGTTGGTGTCTTCCTCTTTACACCCGTCCTCATAAGACCCTGACTGTTGGTGTCTTCCTCTTCACACCCGTCCTCATAAGACCCTGGCTGTTGGTGTCTTCCTCTTCACACCCGTCCTCATAAGACCCTGGCTGTTGGTGTCTTCCTCTTCACACCCGTCCTCATAAGACCCTGACTGTTGGTGTCTTCCTCTTCACACCCGTCCTCATAAGACCCTGGCTGTTGGTGAGTCCTCATAAGATCCTTGCTGTTGGTGTCTTCCTCTTTACACCCGTCCTCATAAGACCCTGGCTGTTGGTGTCTTCCTCTTTACACCCGTCCTCATAAGACCCTGACTGTTGGTGTCTTCCTCTTTACACCCGTCCTCATAAGACCCTGGCTGTTGGTGTCTTCCTGTAGTTACATGTATAAACTTTCTTGTTGATGTCTCCCTAAATACGATGCATAAATTGCAACATTACTTTTTATCTGTTTCTTACACATTGACTGATCTCCAAGTAAATCTAGAAAACTCTGACCTGCACCAATAATATACACTGGGAAAAACAGCCGGTGTA